ATTTAATATGTAGCCCCAGCACTCTATTCAGTTTCTTCGCGGCATGCCCTGTAAGCCTTAACCCTTTCCCTACTAGTCATTAACCCCGAGGCAGGCAGAAACAATGGTCACGCCTTGACTTAAGGCTCACAAAGTATGGGTCTGTGTTAAGCTAAAGATAACCTCATGGCCTAAATGTGTTTCAGCTCCTGAGCCCTAAAGGAGAATGACGCCTTGGCCACATCCTCCCAAAACCAGACTGAGGGACTCGAAGCTGACCTCAAGATCTGAAATAATGATTTACTGCCCCGATATCTCACTCTTGACCAATCAGCAAAACCCACCATCCCAAACACCTTACTCAGGATGACTCATAATTCTTGCTCTATTAAAACCTCTTGTCTGTAAACCATCAGGGAGTTCAGATTTTTCTGGCTTGTGCCTGTTCCCCATTGTGTAGTGCTACACAGTAAATGCCACTTTCTTTCACTGCACCCCGGTGTGAGCATCACTGGCTATCTGCAGCACAGACTGGATGAACTCTTTGCTTGATTATACTCTACTCTCAGTACTTCTGACACTCAAGTGTGTAAGTATTTCTCCCACAGCAAGCAATTCTCCAACACCAGCTGGGTGTCCTACAATCTAACTCAATGCTGACACTATCTACCTGGAGATATCATCAGATCCCACAGGGTAAGGGCTCAGGCTCAGTCCAGCAAGACTGCTCCCACTTCAGAGCCCATCTGAACTCCCAGCTCCCACACTTCTGACCAACTGGCTATAAATTGGTCTGATCCAAGACCCCTTCCCTGTGTTCAATAATGTGACAGAACAGCTAACTCAGGAAAACAGTTTACTTACTACATGACTGTTTTATTTCTATTTTAAAAGTAAACGGATACAACTCAGAATGGCCAGATGAAAGAGATGCACAAGGCAAACTATGGGGAAAGGAGTGTGGGGCTTCCATGCCCTCTCAGGGCGTGCCACCCTCCTAGCACCTCCATGTGTTCAGCAAACCAAAAGCTCTCTGGACCCCACTGTTTAGGATTTTTATGGAGGCACGAGTGATTAAATCATTGGACTCTGGTGATTAAACTCAATCTCTAGCCCCTCTCCCCTCCCCGGATGGGTGAGGACTGAGAGTTCCAACTCTCTATTCTCATGGTTGGTTCCGCTGGCAACCTGCCCACCATCTTTAGGGGCTTTCCAAAAGTCACCTCATTCACATAAACTCAGGTGGTTGAAAGGGGCTTATTCTGAATAACAAAGGATGCTTCTTNAAGTCTCTGATAACCCTCTTTCACATATTTTTTTTTCATTCCTTTAAAATGAGCATATATTCTGTGAAATATCTCATTCCTTTAAATAAGCCACACCATGCCAAATACTACTCTAGCGGGAAAGGAGGAGGAACTTTTTCAGTTATAAACATATATAGAAAAATCTTGGATTGCGAGTAACTTGGTTTGAGAGTATTCCGCAAGACGAGAAAACATTTCTATAAGGTTGGTACAAAAGTAATAATGCAATTACTTTTGCACCAACCTAATAATACATTTTAACTTGGTAAACGAGTGATGTCTTGCAATACAAGTAGTTTATTTTCGGAACAAATTATGTTCACAAACCGAGGTATTACTGTACATAGACTTCCTACATCTAGTCATTTAATCACTAGGGGGAAACATCGGCCAAATCTTATTTTGTTGGGCTGAAGAATTAAAGAGAAAAAAAAAAAGTCAGACAATTCATGAGTTTTGATTACGGTCCTACAATGCCAACACAGAAAGGTCACTCAAAGGCACATACCTGCATGGGTCTGATGGCTGGAAAAAAATAAGTTGGAAGTGACTGGGCCATAATATGACAGATTTCAGGGGAGAACAAAGTTAAAAAAATTAGACTGATGAAAAGATTTGAGATGAAAGCTCCTTAAAAGCAGCAACTGCTTCTATTACACTGCTCTTCCTCAGGGAGATAACAACCAATAGTGCTATGTGCTGGAAGTTCACATAGCCTGGCCAGCAGCAAACAGGCTCCGTCTCAAATAGCCCGCCTACCCAGGACACTTCCCTGCAGAGTGCTGCCACGGATTTGAGGGACAGAATTGGGATTTTATTTGGACCTCACTGCAGACAAAAGAGATGGCTGATACTTAGGGTATGAAGACACAGGAAAGCACAACCTCATCTTCAAATATTCTAAAAAATAATAATAAACAGATAAAACCAAGCAGATAGATGGTACTTCCAGACAATGGAATATTATTCAGAAAAGGAAATGAGCTATCAAGCAATGAAAAGATATGGAGGAAATTTAAATGCATATTACCAAGT